AAATGTCTCGGTCACCGTATAGCATCATCCATACTATGTATTCTTCTCAATCACCAGATACAAATTAATGTACTGATTTAAAAGGTTTTAAAAAGCAGGACTTTCTGGAAAAGCCTTTAGTTTCGTGACAGACCGAGAGTTTTTGAATTTCAGACAAATAAGAGCTTCAAGAGCCGAAGTCAAGCTGAGGGGAAATAAAAGGAACCTGCAGCTGAAGACCTTCTACGAGACCTTAACAAATGATTTTATTGTTTGTTTTCAAGGCTGTATTTTTAAGCATTTCGTATATTTGTAGACTCCAGAATAAACCGTTTAATGGTTTGTTACTGTTTATGGAAATGATTGTGTTTTGAGATATGTTTACTGTACAGCACATTTGTGCAGCTTTGTATAGTGCTATATTAATATAAAGGACAACAAATTTTAACAATGTCTTTTTTATTTTTAAATATATATATATAATTAGAGTAATAACTGTTATATTAGATATTGTAAGGATAATTTTACCCATTTCTTCTCATAATAACTACCGGATATGCCAGTAGCCTGAAATGGTTGTATAATAAAAGGATTTAATCCCATTTCTTTCATTATTCTGTAAGAGCAGATATTTGAGGACCAACTAAATGACAAACCGTTCCTCCTCTTCATGACAACTCAGATCCTTCTTTGCAGAGTCATCATTTCTGTAAATTTATGAGGGTGAAATTAAATAAATTCATTTTGGTTCAAATTGAATTATTTATTGAAGTAACAAACATCAACTTCTAAAGATGTGTTAAACATGTACCTCATATGTAAATAGCTGTACATGTATGTATAAATGTATATGTCTCGGTGTATATAGAAACATTCACTAACATTTGCTTATTACTTGCATATACACTAGAATTGCATCTTCTGCTCTAAACAAGAAAGTTTATAAAATTCATGTAAATTATGTACTCCTACACTGCTGTGGAGAAATTAAATGGAATTATCACTCTGTTTTGCATAGTGTGCTGTACAATTCTGAATGACAATAAAGTTTATCAAGTTAAAAGTTATTTTGAAATTACTGCTTCTAATCGAGTAATAAATCGGTGATGAGCAGATTGCACAATATAAATACTGATGATGATCTCATTCCTAATCTCATCGGTCCTTGTCTCTCCTAAGGAGAACATCAACATCTTCATTTCTGCCACTTCCAGTTCTTTCTCCTGTCTTTTTGTCAATGCCACTGTCTCCAGACCATATACAACATCTGGTCTCACCACTGTCTTGTAAACTTTTCCTTTGACCTTTGCTGCCACCCTTCTGACTCAAATCCCTCATGAAACATTTCTCCATCCTGCCTGGACTCTATTTTTCACCTCTTTACCACATTCCCCATTTTCCTGGACAGTGGACCTCACTTGAAGTCCTGCACCTTTGTGACCTCTGCTCCTTGTAGCTGTTCCACTGGCCTCCCTCTCATTTACACACATACTCTGTCTTACTACAGCTAACTTTTATTCCTCTTCTTTCAAGTGCATTATTCCACCTCTCCAAATTCTCTTCCACCTGTTCCCACCACAGATCACAATATCATCTGCAGACATCATAGTCCACGGGGATTCCTGCCTGACCTCATCTGTTAGTCAGTCTATCACCAGAGCAAACAAGAAGGGGCTCAGAGTTGATCCTTGATGCACTCCTGCCTCCACCTTGAAGCTGTCACTCCTACAGAACATCTCACCACTGTCCTGCTGTCCTCATACATGTCCTGTACCAGTCTAATAATTCTCTGTCACGCCAAATTTCCTCACCTCCTCCCTCTGCACCATGTCATACGCTTTTTCTAAATCCACAAAGACACAATGGAGTTCTTTCTGACCTTCTCTGTACTTCTCCACCAGCATCCTCAAAGCAAAAATGGCATCTGTGGTGCTCTTTCTGGGCATGAAACCATATTGCTGCTCACAAACAGTCCTTTCTCATCTAAGTCTTGCTTCCACAACTCACTCTCTCAGATCTTCATTGTGTGACTTGTCAATTTAATTTCCCTACAACTCTGTACATCACCCTTGTTCTTAAAAATGGGCACAAGCACACTTCTCCTCCATTCCTCAGGCATTTTCTCACCTTGAAATATGCAATCACAAATGTTATAACAATTACTGGAGTATTTACGAGTATAAAAAATAACCTTTATCACCCCAAAAATCGTAAAATAACACAAGATTGGGGGAACCCAGCTAATTTTCTTATCAATGTCTACATGTAACTTGAAAAACAAATACTAAACTCTGCTCTAATGTTGCACAATTTTTTTCTAACCACTGAAGACTCCGTTAGCATCGGTAACAGGCTAACATTAGCATGACAGTAACATCACGAAAACAACACAGGTGGGAGACGAAGTGCTACAGTAACCCTAAACATTTTACTTACTGGCCTTTCATCTTGGAAAAAGAAACCCCAAAGATGCAATATAATAATTTACCAGTCCAGCAGAAATGTAGCTAACTGTGCATCAATTGAATCCTTTCTGTTCCAGTAGCTTTCTCCATCTCTGGTTTTATTTCGGGCTCGGTCCAACTCTTTCTTTGGAGCTCGTTATTTGACAATGGGTTTCCTCTTTTTGTCAGATGCTTTTGAAGCGAACGGTGTGGTCAACCAGAGACAGGGAACTTCTGTTTTTATTCCCGCTGCTTGACTTTCGGACATTGCAGTCGGAACAAGAGTAAGAAATCCATAAAATAAACACGCTATGCGAGAATTCCCGTTACCCGTGTTCTCGCGAGACTTCCTTTGTACGCGATGACGTCAAATTATGAAAGCGTCCTCACGTTTTCTATCGGCTGCTCCCATGTTAACTAATTATTCCAAAGATAATTAAAGAGTTATTGTCTTTTCTGCAGTTAAATATTAAGAAGAAAACATCTATGTGTTGGTACATAACCTTGGGAGTCATTCCAGAGAGCAATTATTCATTTTTGTATTTATTTCACAGTTGAACGCCAGCAGTTGTCTAGAATCTTGAATACAAACCATTTATAAAATGAATTTTAGTTGGATAAACCATACCAAGTTTGTACAGATCCATTTCATAATGTTAAGATGGGTTTTAAATATTAGAATATGTGTGAACAACATTGAGAAAATTCTAAGATACATCAAACATTGATTGCCCTGTGCAAAAAAGGTGAAACAAAATGCATTTGATGCAAGTTTCATTGTGTAGTTGATAAGTTTAATTTGTACATTAGCTCAAATGTTTGAACTCTGACAATAACTGCTGTAACATATGAAGAATGTTGAACATATTAAGAAAAAATAGAACTTTATTGATCCCGCAGGAAACTGGTGTGCCAGAGTTTCAGTACAAAGGAACATACATATATATTGCAATGTTTGTTACATTGCAATATAAATGCACAATTTTATTATTGAATAAAATGAGGTGGAGACAATTACTCATTTTCTATATCAATGGTCCAGAATAATTGTTTTATATTAAACAAATATTGTGGCCAAACTGATAGTCTAACGGAGTAATTAAACTGAGCCTTACTCTTGTCACAGTCATCACAGAAATGCATGTGATAAACTAAATGCCATCAGTTTAGCAAGTTGATGAAGCCAATCATTCATTCATCCATCTATATTTTGACACTTCTTATGGTTGAGTCACAAGACAACAGGATCAGAAGGAATGCGTAGACATCTCTCTCCAGCCAGCGACACTCTCCGGCTCATCCTTGTGGATCCAAAGACATTCCCAAGACAAAAAGAAAATTGAAGTTCTGAGTCTGCCCTGGGATCTTTACCCAGTGAGACATGGCTGGCCGGGAAACCTGAAGAGAGGTGACCATGTGGCATCGTCCCAACCATCCCAGCCGACCGCCAAGGCCCAATTATTTCAAGGCAGCTCCTCACCTCAACTTTAAGGCTGAGCCCAGTCACTCTTCACTGGAAATTCATTTCAATTACTTGCATCTGGGACATCTTTCTTTTTTTTTTTTTTATCATGATCCATGCTTCATATCTCATCTTGTCCATGAACACCACAGACAGGGTCTGAGACAAGTAGCAGTCCTAATGGAGTCCAACTTGCACCGGGAATGAGCTTGACTGAATAGCCCTTAAAAGCCCATAAACCTGCAGCACACACAGAATGCCTTGGTAAACAGGGTTATGTCTTCTACAGATCCAAAAAACACATGTAGACAGTCAAACTCTCATGACCTCCTTAGCAACTCTGCACAAGATACCCGATGGACTTTTCCACAACTTGGAAAGAAGCCACCCTTCTTCTTCTGGATCCAAGGTTGACAATCAGTCAAAGCTTTCCTTCCAGCACATTAGGTTAAACTTTATGGAGGCTGAGCACTCAGGAGTTGGAACACACTCCCTGGTCTAATTATAGAGAAAAATAGGGTCCACCACCACCATGGTCTGCTACTCCACAGGTGCTGTTCTCCATGCAGCATTAAAGAGACATTTAGAATATTACAAAACTTTTATCTGAATTGCTTTGCATTTTCAGTTTATGTTAAATGAAACACTCAAGCACAAAGCTGCCATTGGACTGACACCTAAAGACTGGTCTCCCATTCCAACTTTCATAAAACTACAGCACATCATTTCAACTGAACAAAATAATCAGGTGTTTCTAACAACTGTTTGTATTTCATTTACATTTGTTTTAAAATAACATTGAAGTAGTGCAGAATTTCTTTAACAATAAGTGCTTTTTTGGCATGCAGGATACAAAGGCACTGAAATTGAACTAACGGGCTACTAGCAAAGAGGCAACATTAAAACATGGGCACAAAACATAAATACAAAAACAGAACACAGAAAGAATCAAAGCTATTGTTTGGCAATCCATTGTGAGTGGGTGGCATACATTTGTAAAAGTACTTGTCTCTGCTCTAAGAGGGAAGAATGGAAGAAAGATGTTTGAAGAGGAAGAGCAATTTACTGCAATTTTGTCAAACTACTTTTACAACAAAATGCATCAATGTTAAATGTTAAATGTCCGGCTTGGCCTGTTGTTTGGGTCTGCCGAGCTGTCTAGTTGGCCCGATGCGTCTTCCAGCATGTGTGCGCAGATGCTGTCGCAACCCCTGGCGGTAAATAAAACTCTTTCCGCAATCTCTGCACTCATAAGGTCTCTCTCCAGTGTGAAGCCTTTGGTGAACCTTCAGTTCTTCAGCTCTGGAGTAGCCTTTTCCACAGACATTACAAATAAAAGGCCTGCTCTTAATGTGAGTTTGATAATGTGCGTTTAGATAGGAGTTAATCTGAAATGCCTTGCCACAAATCAAACATTCAAACGGTCTCTCTCCAGAATGCTGCATTTCATGGAGTTTGAGAGAAGAAGCTATGTGAAAACCTTTGCCACACTGGGAGCAGAGGAATGGTTTCTCCCCTGTATGGATGCGCTGATGGATTTGGATATAACTTTCATTGATGAACCTCTTGCCACAGTCAGGACACGAGAAGGGTTTCTCCTTGACGTGAGTTTTCATGTGTTCTTCCATTTTTTTACTATCATCGAATTGAACCCTGCACCAGCGGCAGAAGAAAAACTGTGACGTGGTTTGATCGACTGATTCAGGGATTGTCTTGCTGTGTGTAGTTTTGAGGTGCGCTTGTAAAGCTGACTGACTCTCACAGTCTTTTCCACATTCCAGGCAGCGGATAGATAATCGGACCTTGGATTCTCCCGGCAGAGACCTCAAGTACTCTGAAAGCTCCAAGGCAGACGGATTCATCTCATCATCATAATCTACAGCACCCTTTCCACCTAAACAGAAATAAAATGTATTATATTGCAATATTTGTAAGATTTAGCAGTGCAATTTTCAAACTAAGGGACATTATTTAGCAAGGGGATTTTATAAACCTAATGGAAAGTGTAAGACAAGTACACAAAATGCATGATAAACAAAGTAAAACAAAATATTATTTAGTACAAAAGTAAGACTCATGACAAGTTGTTTTAACAATTTTTTATACAATATATGGGATTAACTGTAAGAACCGTTCAGTAACACTACTGTACTCCATGTACATCATAAACAACTCTCACCAAGGTGGACTTTGTAGTGTGTTTTTAGATTTCCCTTCTGGTTAAAACTCCGACCACAGACAGAGCAGCAGTATGGTTTCTCCCCTGTATGGATCAGCTCGTGTCGTTCTAGTTTGTAAGCGTGAGGAAATTCTTTGCCACAAACCGAGCAGTGATACTCAATCTTCTCTTGGGGTCGTTTTAGTAGCTCAGGAGGTATATCTATTGCCAAACGAACCCTCTTTCTTCCGGGGCGCTTCCTTCCTAAATAGAGAGGAGGAAAAACTGTCAAATATGAATATATTTAATGATACCCTTGTTAGGGGATTTGTCCCTATCTGTGCGTGATTGAAAGTATTAATGGTTGTCTATCTAGTTTGTCTAAATATCCAGCCTGTGATGGACTGATGACCTGCTCAGGGTGTACCTGTGCTCAATGACTGCTAGAGATAGGCACCAACTCCCTGCAACAATGCATGGGGGGGAGGGATGGATGGTTGACTAAAACCCAATAAGATTCAGATCAAAATATAGTTACTTTGTGGAATGACATGCCACTTCCCTTTCACTAAGAATTCTGTTCTGATTCAAACCAACTGCATTCACCCAAAACTGGTTAAGTGGCATCTAAAAAAGTTAAATCTGGTCCTCTGGACATTCAAAAAACAAAACAAAGCAAAACAACAAAAAAATGTAGAAACGTTTCGTCTTTCATCCGAAAGACTTCCTCAGTCTGAGGTGCTGTATTCAGCTCAGTCTTATAAATAGCACCTTCTCCGAGTGGATCAACCAGTTTTGCTGCTGACAACCAAAACCAGCTGCTCACATGGTCAAGAAGGACCATCAGCCTAACAATGGATCATTAGCACACTGATGCCTGTTTACTATTCACAGGAGGCTGAGTGATACTAGCAATAACAGCATTGTAAGAGGGGGACAGTTGAGCACGGAGGCCTCCACCCCTGTTTAATGATGGACGGTTTCTTTTCACAAAGATGGCTTCCTTTACTCCTCTCTCAAACCATCGTTCCTCTCTATCCAGGATGTGAACATCTTCATCCCTGAAAGAGTGACCGCTGGCCTGGAGATGAGTGTAGACCGCAGAGTCCTGGCCTGATGATGTTGCTCTTTTGTGCTGGGCCATCCTTTTGGCCAGTGGCTGTTTTGTTTCCCCGATGTAAGACTGATCACCCTCCTGACACTGAACAGCATACACAATATTACTCTGTTTGTGCCGGGAAACTGGATCTTTGGGATGAACCAGTCTTTGCCGTAATGTATTTTGGGGTTTAAAAACCACTGGGACGTTATGTTTAGAAAATAAACGTCTCAGTTTCTCTGATACTCCCTCAACATACGGAATGACCACTGGTCTGGGTCTGGGTTCCTCCTT